ATAGGGACCAACAGAGGTTGAAGAACCCGAAGGTTCGACTATCCCAGGCCAGGGTACCCCAGGTGACGGGTCCGAACGTTCAGGTCACTGAACCTCTCTTGGTACGTTTGGGGCTCCTGGCAAGACCCATGTGGATCATTGGCATAGGAAGAACGCGTCTTTGAGCTGAAGGGGTTGGTCGTCCCTGGTCGTGCCTGTGTCTCTATCTGCTGGTGGGGGCGAGTTCAACATAGAATTCAAGACATGCGCTGCACCGCCACCAGTGAGTTCGGAACCTGGACCATTCTGCTGTTCATCTTCTTCCCTCACGTTCCGCATTCCGCGCCGCGCGTGGACAGAGAAGAAAGCAGCAACGTTCAGCATCGCCCGTATGCCTGACTAAGGCGTACGCCTCGCCGAGCCGCTGGTAGACCTTGAAGCAATGCCCATAGCCCTGCCAGGTCACCAAGTAACCCTCCGGGAAGCTCCTCGCAGCAGACCATTCAGGACCATGAATCCAGCAGAGACCCTGTGCCCACAGACCCTCTTCATCTGAATCTATATCCCTCTAAACCATCTCTAAATCACTCTAAAAGCTTGGAGGAGACCTGATTCAGGACCGTTTAGGACCATCAGTGGACCTGATGGCTTAACTGTCTAACCCTCAGACCCCTGAAACACAGGTGAGGGTTCTCCATGTAGATCTGCTGTTTGTCAAACATCCACTGCCAGTTTAGTCAACATCAGTTCTTGCTGCATGCTCCAGGCATGCTCCATATCATCTCCTTTGGGTTCGAATATCAGCCGTTCACAAGTGAACAAGCCTTCGCAGCAAACATCCACCCCAAGTGCAACCAAAATCCTATACCCAAACACGACTGGCATGGTACTGGCATATACCATTTGGGGTGGTTGAAACATATTGAAAGGGGTCAATGGGTCGTATGTCTTGGTTCTTTCGGCCAACCAGTGCTTTGGAAGGAATCTTTCCAGACGCCCGAGGGGTGGAGAGATAAACATCTGAAACTGCTGAGATATGCATCTGGTGTTTGGTATTGTTTGGTTGTGTGGTTGAAACCACTCAGTCACTGGTGCTGAATCACTCCAATGGCATGGCATATTGCATCTGCTGCATCTCTCCTTCTCAAGAGCTGTGCGCTCTCGAAAGCAGTTTGAGGATCATGAAGGTTGCCAATGATGACCTCAGGTGCTACGGGAACGGGAGGCGCCAGTCGCCTCAAGCAAAACCCACAGCCTCAAGCAAACAAAGAAAGAAAACCAATGCCATCAAATCAGAAAGTGCTAAGACATCCGTGACATCCCGGCCGTTTTGCCGAACGCCGAGCGTCGGCCGGCACTCCGGAGGCACCGGCGGGAGGTACTGGGCGTGAGTAGCTGGGCCAAGTGCTCATGGCGACCATCCAATTGATGGACCATAGAATGCCAATGGGATAGCTCTCCTCAGACTCTCTGAGCGGAGATGGCAAGCTGGATGTCTAAGTAGAGGAAAGTAAGGAAAGGTAAGTAGAGGATATACCGCAAGACTTCTTGGAAAGGAGGTGCTTCCTGGATTTCGCGGTGATATGTTCTCTCCCTCTCTCTCTCTGTTGTATGACTCCATCTTTTTTGTGTGCTTTTGTCGTTCTGAGAGGGCTAGCTCTCCCACCTTTCGTGCGAGTGAAATTGAACCGAAGGACCGTGCTTGGCATTCCCACTTGGTCCTTGGTCCTTCGGGGGAAATCACACCGGTCAAATGCCCCAAGTTCGAGCACCACATGCCAGCTTAAGGCTTGTGGAAATCGGTTGGTTCTGCAGACCAGACTTTCAACGAAAAGTGCGTGAAGGTCCGGGGTGCTACTCATTGGGTCCAATACCACTGCATCCTGCAGAGTTGCTTTCATGGAGCGATCCTAGATCTCATCAGCCCCTTAAGGGCCTTAGCGGATAGATGCGGACAGCCTCACGCGCGGCTCTATAATTCACTTGCCCAACAGGGGGCTACATTGGTCCTCTAGTCAATGACCCAAACATAGCCAGGCCACTATGGAAGAAGAACACCTGTTCAAAACAAAGGGTACAGTACCACCTGAACACAAGGAACAACATGTTCAACCGGAAGGGGATTGGGATGTGGAGTGATTCCCTTATGCAGAGTATCCCTGCAACGTTCCCTTCAACAAAACCCCGAATTATCAATAAGTGGCTGTAACTTCCCCCCTTACCTACTACGACCAGCTGTGAACAAACGACACGGCACATATCACATACTGGGTACATCCCATTACCAGTAACAATGGACGATGAATTGAAACAAGAAAAACCTTCGCCCCAAAGACGTGCTATCATCTTGTCATATTCATATACTTCCGGGGTATAGCCCATTACCAGTAACAAGTTGGATGATTATAGTCTAGCCGCCTAGCCCGACGGTTTCCAGTCCAAAGGGAGGCGCGTCACATCAGTCCGACCGGTCACATCGGATGGACGTGCCGTTCGTCGCAACGAAGAGGCGGAGGCCTTGCGCCACCAAACGATGAACTCCTGCAGTGAAGTGGAGCGCTTTTACCCTCGCGTTTCTGGTCTTCCGGGTGGGAAACATGTGCTGAACAATACGCCACTGCATGAAGAACTTGGATCATCATTCCAAGAGTAGGACATTGGTCTGCCATAGGAGGTGCTGGTTTACTCTGGAGCTGTATATCTGCTCGGCTCATGGGTATACCTCAGCAACAGCATGGGCATTTTCTACCAGAAACGCCGCTAAGTCACCTTTGCAAGGAATAAGTTGATAAGTTGATGCTATTTCTGCCAAGCTGGGTGCTCTTCTCCGAGTCTTCTCCGAACAAACTCCACTGTCAAGGGCCACAGTGAGACACATACCACCACCGTGTTGAGGGCTCTCAGTAGCATATATCAATAGAGGTGTCCCCAAATCCGCTCATGATCGGTGGGAACTTCGAACGCCGGTTCGGTGGAAGTCCCTCCTCTGTCCAACTTGCTGTCCCAACGAAGGCTCACTCGACCGCCCCTGAAAGCCTGGAAGTTTCATCGTGAATTCAGAGGGGTCGCAGGTCTTGCAGGATCCTTCCTTCGAACCCCACTGCCGAACTCACACTGCAGCTGGGACATCCAGCGAAAAAGGAAACCGGAAACTGCTAGCTGCTAGGTTTCAATCTTGATGTCTCAGCTTTCAGCTTCTGCCCCGCAAAACAAAAAGACACTTCTCCGCTATCTTCTCCTTCTCCTTCTTCCGTCCGACCTCCAACCAAAAAAGCACAAACAAACACCCCCCAAAACCAACGGACGAAGACGAAGCCCTCCCCTCACAACCACCCCCCAAAGAAGAAACAT